CACCCCACCCTCAGCCACACCCACACACCCACACCCACACCCACACCCACACCCTCACATCACAAATGAATATTTTACATAATAGTTCTCTTCATTTATTCTACTCACTTAAAAGCAAAGATAAAAAATTGATCAAATGATCAAAGATTACATGACAAATAAATATTTTCATGATAGATCTCTTCAGTTATTCTGCTCACTTCGAAATAAAGATAGCAGAAATTCATTAGACGATCAAGGATTACATAACAAATAAATATTTCTCAGCATAGTTTTCTTCATCTATTTTGTTCACTTCGTAGCAAAAATTGAAAGATTGATCAGATAGTCGAAGGTCACATAACCAATGAATATTTCTCACCATAGTTCTCTTCACATACTATTCATTTCGAAGCAAAGTTTAGAAGTTTGATCTGATGATTGAAGATCATATGACAAATCAATATTTTTCACTATCATTCTCTTCAATTATTCTGTTCGTTCAAAGCAAACATTGGAAGATTGATCAGATGTGGAAAGATGACATGACAAATAAATAGTTCTCAGAATAGTTTTCTTCACCTAATCTGCTCACTTCGTAGTAAATATTGGAAATTTGATCAGATGCTCGAAAATTATATGATTAATGAATATATCGCACGATAATTCTCTTTATTTATTCTGCTCACTTAGAAGTAAAGGGCAGTGAGATTGATCAAGTCATTGAAGATCACATGACAAACGTATATATCTCATCATAATTCTCTTCATTTATTCTTGTCAGGTCAACCAAAGTTTGCGGGATTGATCAGAAGATCAAAAATCATATAACAAAGAAATTCATAGAAGTGCAAGTATTATATTTTGAGTCTTCTATTCTTCTCACTCACAAACAAAACTTGTGAATTAATCGACTAATTAAAGAGCACATGATAAATAAATATTCCTCAGTAAAATTCTCTTCATCTATAGTGTTCATTTTGAACGCAAAATTAAAAATTTAATAAGTAAAGAAATAGAACATAGATTCTGTATAATTATTTCCCAATGATTTTCTTCATCTTTATTATTTACATTAAAAAAATAATTTGTAAAATTTATTAAGTAATTACAAACATATGTTTAATGAACAATCAAAAGCAACATTGTTTTCTACTATTTCATTGACTTAGAACAACATTATTCGAAGTAGTTAAATGATTATTATAACCATGTCTGATCAATACTTTCAACATTTACCACATTTATGTTTGCTTATGATGCTCAGTTCGAGTTAACGAATTTATATGACTAACTAATTAAATATATCGTAAAAAATGATTGATTATAACACGTTTGGCAAGCATCACCATTGCAGAAACTTAGCTTTCTAGAAGATGCAACTGTTGGTTGTTCCTCTAAATTAAAAAAATCATTCTTTCATATTAAGATTAAACAGATACATCATTTAGTATTTTTTTTTTGTATAAAAAATAACTAAAATGGATTGTAGAAACTATTATACTAGTAACTCTGAAGTTACAGATAATAAATTATGCAACAGTAATCAAGGGAAAAAAACAACTTTTATAGCTTCCTAATTTTTACATTTTGATTGATGAATATTAATGTATATTGAATAAATGTCATAATCTCAGTGTTCAATGATAAAATAACTTCTGTTTAAATAAAATTCTTTACTTACTCTTGTCTTTTTCAGCACAAAGACAAGCACCAGCATCTTTCTTACATACGGAACATTGGTTGGATGAAGCCATTTCTGTGGGAAAAATACATAGAAAATTTATCTTCAAGAAAAAAAATTATAGAATGACATTAATATATATACTAATATATTCTACATCATATTGATTATTTCTTTTTTTGTTTTTACATTGTTAAAATTTTTCCCAAGATATTTATCATTCATTTTCTATTGCTATTTATTAATATAAAATTTGTATATGTACTTTGAAAGAATATAATAGTGTTATCATTTAGTATCTTCGTCAGGTAATTTAGTTAAACATTAAGCTTGTAAGGAATACTCTGAAAGTTCAGTATCAATATACATTATAAGAATATTCTTCTGTCCATTGATCAAGACTATACTCTTTGAAGCCATGCAATTTATCAAAATCAATTTAAATAGAGAAAAAAAATATCACTAAGTTTCTGAGCGTAGATATGAATTAATTATTATGTGACACATAGCAGTTTTTACCTTTTGACAATAGGAAATGTTAAAATAGTTGTTGCTTGATTTTCAATTGCTTTTGCTCGATTGAAATTAACTTTTTCGAATGTTTTTTCGTTGTTTATAACACAAAAAAATATGATGAAATGAATGTGCGTCTTTACGTTTTTTTATGTTACGCAAATAATGAAAACAAAAGTATAATATTATTTCGATTTTTCTCACAATAACAAGTTTCAAAACAAAATTGTACATACAAAAATTAAACTATACATCAATCAAAACTTCATAAATCTTGACTATACACTCAAATAATGAAAGAAAGAAAGAATGTATGCTAATGAAAAGGTAATTACAGAAAGAATGTACAGGTATTCAAGGTAAGCTGTCATTTTGCATACAATAATGATCGATTGAGGCATTATCTCGCTCATGTGCCAACCATCCTTGTGATAGTTTTTTTCAAAACAAAATTGTGCATATACAAATTAAACTATATGTCAATTAAAACTTCATCATTTGAATTTGTTTGTTAGGAGAATTTTGAAAATAAAGAATCAAATATAAATAGCAAATATCTTATTTGAATTGAATTTATTTATTAAGAATATTAATCGGAAATAACTGATCCCTATTGAATTATATAGTTAAGAGGATGCAAAAATAAACAAGAATTAAAATATAAATAACAAAATGATTAATTTTGATTGAATTTATTTGTGAAAATAATTTAAAGTAAAGAGCTAAAATATAAATCGAAAATAACTAACTTTTATTGAATTTGATTGTTGAGAAGAAATAATAAAAAGTATTAGAATTTCAATGAAAAAAAAAAACTGATTTATGCTGAATTTCATTGCTAAGAGTGTGCCAATAAGTAAGACACACTCACAGAGGATATAAAGGCATCACTTCATCATTAATTTATTCTTCATACATAATGTGACAAGAATCTTTCCTTGGCTCCGACCTATGGAAAAATAACAGACGTAAGTGCCTCACAGGTGTGGTTGTAAGTGCAGTTCATCTCCCAGCTAACACCCACACTCACACTCTTCTTTGACTATTGTGATGAATTCGGCATGAAAAACGGTTGTAGAGGAAGCCAATAGTTCTTTCATATTCATTTCAATGACAACATTATCAGTTTCATTTTGAACAAATTTCATATACAGAACTCATATTATCTTCCAGATAATCCTTCTCATCTCAGGTAACAAAGTCATTAATTATTTATATACTCAAGAGATTTTTTTTATATTGTAATCTAATTGAGTCCAATTATCGTTTTGTAGCGAAAATTCATGTGATGATATTGTGGCAGTGATCATTTTCGATGATAGTCATAGATGGTGTACTAAGAAGTGCAATAACACGTGGTTTAACTTGGACTCTTTATCAAATGAGCCAAAACCAATTGAATTTCGAAGGATATTTAGTCGACAAGGTAGAAGAACATATAAAGACGGACTCTACCAATTAAGATTTCAATACGAATATCGTCAATCACTCTTCAAAAACAACATCGAAGCGATCATCAAAACATAATCACATGAAAAAGGTTCTCATTTTTGATGAATCTTTCTCAATCTTTGAAATAAATGAGTCAAGTCGATCTAATCGATTTGAAATATTATCTTCTATAGAACAAGAATTTCAATAAACATAATTAAATACAAGAATTTTCATAATTGACAGATTAATTTTCCTTGTTTGGTGTACTTGATTGAAACATTCTTTAAATTTCTAACATTGAGCATAAAATGTCTTAAGACTAATAAAAAGAAAAAAAAAGGATGTTTCTATTTTATTTTACATGCAAATCATCATACTTATTGACCAACAAAAACAAGAAAAAAAAATTCATTTCGTCTCTTTCATCTGGGATTAGACATGCGCCAATTAAAATAACTGATATTTTTCTCACAACTTCATTTTGTACAGAAAACATGTCTTGATAATATGAATTCTGACAAATAGTTTAGGACATTTCAAACTTCGCCAAAAGTGAAAGTCTTATTAGTTGATATTTTACTTAGCCGACTTTGTTCGTTGAAATTTGATTATCTTCAGATTGAACATCATTAAAATGAGTATGATCGTAAAAAAAGCAATGAATCTGAATCTTTTTCAACAATCTTGAAGGTGTGGGTGAGGTGGGTCGGGGTATGGGTGGGTGTGGGTGTGGGTGTGTGGGGTATGGGTGTTGGTGTATGTGGGTGTGAGTGGGTGTGGGTGTGGGTGCGGTGTGGGTGTGAGTGCTGATATGAAGTATGTATTCATCTATATCCACACCCACCCACACCCACACCCACACCCAATTATTATAGAATAATATACTTCTCTATTCGTCAATTCAATTTTTACTTTTTGGAATATTTTGATTTACTGTCAATGTATTGATTTTTTCACCATGAAAATATTTCTTTCGATGTTCAGAAGTCAAATTACGACATTCTTGTTGATTCCGACAAGGAATTAAATAATCCGATAAACCAGTATGTCGATAAGAAAAGCGATGAGTAGGATCAGTTAAATTAGAACAATTCATATCATATTTACATTGAGATACATCATGTTTATTATGCGTAAATTGTATACTATGAGTCGCATCATGAATATTTCAACATAATTCAGAGAAACGGCATGGATGTGAATAAGTTTGATTATGATTTACGGATTTTTCGGGAGAATATTGATCAAGACAATAAATCGAATCTTCACATGGTTTTCTAGGTTCCATTTGTTAATGTTCTTCTTTTTCGATCGTTTTCCTTTCCTTTTGATTGTTCTTTATGTTCTGACCAAAGTTTTCCTATAAAATTTCTGATCGGTTGAGATATTAAACCAGATGATTTCGTGAGGCACTATCCGAAAGGAATGTCGAAGTAAATAGGATAACAGCCTGCCGAGGATGTCCTCGACATCCACAGGGTCTCACTGCTACTTGTAGCGGTGGGAGGCGCCCCTGGGCTATCGGTAGCCACTCCGTCTGACTTTTAGGCTAGCCACCTATCAGTAGGACATAAAACTTCACGGGCTAACGAAAAAGACCAAAAACAGTGCATCAACGCACGTAAATCAACATTCTTTGGTGGGTGGAACGTTCGATCGTGTTTTCGGCAAGCAAAGAAGCAATTAATCGTAAAACAATTACAGAAGTACCATATCCAAGTGGCTGCACTGAGTGAAACGGGAATTTACGACTCAGGAATAACAACAGTGGGTGACTATACAATGATCTATTCTGGTGCTCCTAGTATAAACAAAACCAAAACAGCTCATGGTGTGGCAATATGTCTAAACAAGCATGCAACGACAGCATGGAAAAACATTGGCGCTGTCTGGAAACCAGTCAACGAACGGATACTCATGGTAAGAATACAGTGCACACCAGTCAATCTCTCACTTATTGCGATTTACTCTCCAATCAATCCAAATGGTCAACAAATAGCTATCAATGCATCGGATACCTTTTACGCTGATCTGCAGCGGACAATTAATTCAGTTCCATCAAATGATCTTCTACTAATTATGGGTGATTTCAATGCAAGAGTTGGAAAGCAACAACACATTACAAGTAGAAAAGTAGTTGGTCCACATGCAGTTGATTATATTAACGAAAATGGTCAACGACTGATAGATTTTTGTGCAATGAATAATCTTATTATCTCAAACACCTTCTTTCAACAGAAAAGAACACATCAAACCACCTGGATGCACCCGGCGAATAAAAAATGGCACATGCTTGACTACACTCTTGTTAATCGTAAATTTCGATCAAGCTTAGAAGACGTTCGTGTCCATAGAGTGGCTGCGGGTGCAATTGGAACCGATCATCATCTTCTCCGAACAAAACTCAAATTTCATTTAAAAACCAGAAAAAAGTCATCAAAACAACATCATATTCGCCTCGATCAAAAGAAACTCAAAAATGAACATCTTGTCAAAGAATTTCAAGCTGAACTTACGAACAGACCGGCAGCATCAAGCTTAGACAATATGACGATCAACCAAAAATATGCGAACTTCGTTGACTATGTCAACAAAGCTAGTAATAAAATCTTCACACATGACAGCAATGGCAAAAAACGAAAGGAATGGGTTACCAATGAAATTATGGAAGCTGTCGATAAGAAAGCGAAGGCTTTCCTACAATGGCAAAATCACCGTCACACAAACCTCGAACGTCAATATCGTAGTAAATATAATCTACTACGAACTAAAGTGAAGAAGATGGTTGAAGCAAGACAAGTCGAATACTGGGACGAAATCAGCAAGGAAATCGAAACAGCCATCAAACAACATGATCTCACAACCGCGTACGCAATGATCAGACGACTCAGAGGTGGAAGAGCCAATATTGAAAATCTTCCTATCCGAAACAAACAAGGTAATCTTCTATCAAATTCACAAGAAAAGCTAGACCGCTGGAAAGAATTTTTCAATGATTTACTTAACGTACCATCCGACATTAAACCATCTATTCTCAAGCAGATACCAACACCGAACATTTCTCCAGCTGAACAGCTTCGTCAAGACAAACCTCCCTCTTTAATTGAGGTACAACAAGCAATTCAACAGATGAAAAACAACAAAGCACCAGGTAATGACAATATCTCTGCAGATTTACTCAAAGCCGGTGGTTTTCCAATGGCTCAATGGCTTTATGAAGTTTTCGTAGATATCTGGAACAATGAAGAGATCGTGGATGACTGGACAACAGCAATTCTCATTCGATTATACAAGAACAAAGGTGACAAGCGCATATGTGACAATTACAGAGGTATTTCACTGCTCGTTGTAGCGAGTAAAATATTTTCTCGCGTGATTCTGAACCGCGTGCAAATACTTCTTGACAAACAACTTCTTGAAGAGCAAGCGGGTTTTCGGGCCAATCGTTCGACCATTGATCAAATATTCATTCTTAAAATGATTATGGAGAAATCACGCGAATACAACAAGCCACTCTATATGTGCTTCATCGACATAAAAAAAGCATATGACTCAGTTAATCGTGACCTACTATGGCAGATCTGTAAACACTATGGCCTTTCCAACAAAATCGTGCGTATGTTACAACTTCTTTATAAAAATACAAAAGCACGAGTCAGAGCCAACGGCGATCTATCAGACAGCTTCAATATCGAAACTGGTGTATTGCAAGGTGGTATCACGTCCTGTATATTGTTCAATATTCTGTTCGACTTTATTATGCGCCGTGTCATTGACAAAGCAAATATGATGGGTGTAACTGGCATTAAATTAGCATTTGGAAGTAATGATTTCTGTCACACTGATCGAGACAACTACGAAGATCTAAATGTTTTGACCTTAATGTATGCAGATGATCTGGTTACAATGTGCGACAACATTCTCGACCTGGAAATTTTCATTCAAACCTTCGAACAAATTAGTCAAGAATTTGGTCTGACTATGAGTGTCAAGAAAACTTGCACCATGTCTCTTAAACAATTTCAAGAAGATTCAACAAGAAAGATAATAAAGAATCAAGAAGTCGCAGCTCCCAACATAAACATCAATATTCGGAATAAAACAATTGAAATGGTCGACGAATTTTCTTATCTTGGTTGTTATGTAACCCGTGACAATTCGTTGGATAAAGAAATTGAAACACGACTCTCCAAAGCATCAGCTGCTTTCAATATGCTTCGTCATATCATTTGGCATCGCAAAACAATCTCCATCGAAGCAAAGCTACGCTTGTTCCGTGCTTGTGTTCTTCCGGTTTTACTATATGGAAGCGAAGTGTGGTCGACAACTATAGCTCAAGAACGACGACTCAACACATTCTATCTCAAATGTCTTCGAACAATCATCGGCGTCAATTTAGGTGATCACATGACAAATGATAAGTTACTACAACTGACAGGTCAACCACATCTCAACGATATTCTCAGACGAAATCGGCTTCGCTGGTTTGGACATGCGAATCGTATGACCAATGCAAACAACGAGTCTTCAATCGTAAAGAAAGTAATGTTTTCATACTTTTCAGACTGCAAACGTCCTCGAAATGCAGGAGTATGTAAAAGATGGCACGATAAAATACTCAATGATCTTGAACAAAGTCAAATTCGAAATTGGCGAAGAGAAACACTTGATCGCAACAAATGGCGAGATACAATCAACAAGAATGTGCAAGTCAAACCATTATCAATCAATATTGTAGAAATTGTGAAACAGGTCAAAAAATGTACTCAGGACCGCAAAACAACTAATGGAAATAAATCTCTAAATAAAGTAACACAAGTGCTCGCTCCAACTGCTAACAAAGATTACATTTGTCCGAAATGTAACAAATCATACAAACCACAAGGTATCACCAATCATGTGCGATCTTGCGCGACAGAATGGTGCAAGCAAAATGGAATTCAACTGTACAAACATCTTTGCGTATGAAAAAGCTGTGTCTCAATCACTATGTGCGCAATGATGAGTGCTACTCAAACCAATCTCGCAAGGCTTGTAGGTAGGATTCGGATGAACAGCTATAGTGAAGAAACACTACGACGATCGAAAAGGACACTTATCAAATGAACTTCAAACGTTACGTATATATAATTTTATATATAATCGTTTTTTTTCTTTTTTTCCTTTCTTTTTAATTTCTTATATGTATTGTATTGTATTTTGATCTTCACCCAACACCGAAAGGTAAGGGTCTAATAATAATAATAAAAATAGGATAAAAATTTGAATCTGTCTTCCCCTTCCTCGCGGATCGTGACAGACACTCTGAGCTTCTGCCATCGAGTGTACTGAGTATTCTTGAAACATGAGCAAAGATCGTTTTATCATAATGTATGAAGTATGCCCTGATTGCAGTCATAAAAACATAAGTAAAAGGATATTTTATGAATATGACGCATAATGGCTAAACTAAAAGAAACGCTTTTTGAATTCCAAAAGCAGCTATATCGTGTTAGATGTGGGTGTCAATCTTCTCTTCTTCTACACTCACCCAGATTGATGGACTCGACAAATACTTAATTCAACTTGTAAAACATTTTTTCCTATCGAAGCCAAATGAGAAGATGTTGATCTCGAATTATCAATAAATATACTGGTAATAAAATCTGAACAATATACAGTAACCTTATGAAGTAAGATACTATTTCATTTGGAAATTTATCAAAATAATTATCAATTTCGAACAAGAGAAAAATAAGAATGCAAATCATTATCTTCAAAATAAAAATAAATATATCTTTTACTGTTTTTAAGTTAAGTCTTATATACAACAAAATCTTGCACAATCTATATGAAATTAATAGTCTACAAGTTGATATTAATGACTCATTCCATCATTTCTAAAATGAATCCACTGATGCACTTGTTTCAGGTCACTGCAAAAATTGTCTCAATTAAAGAGATGATTCGACAGAAAGACTCGGGATAGTTTATAAGACACTTATATCATATTTTCACCGTGGCCATTATGATTTTTTCTATTATTGGAGCGTTATCAAATGGCGTCATCTTTAGTCCACATAAGCAAACTTGAAAAGTAGGTCAGTTGATGGGTGTGAATGTGGGGGCGGGTCGGTGTAGATGTATAGTAAAAGAAGATCCACACACACCCTGTTATAAATGCAATGGAATACTTAGACGATTTCAGAGAAAACAGTGAATGTAGGTTTTAAGTCGAAGTTTTGTGATCATTGTGCTGAAAACTATAGTAATTCGAAATTAAAAAGAACAGAAAAAGAAAAGATTAATAAAACAGGTACTGCTCATTGTGTAGTACATGTATAACATTCATTTCATTAATCTTATATATAGAAATATACTTCTAGGAACAGTGAGGGACATAATCATACGTTGAATAAGTTCAGATATATGGAAGAGTGACTTTAATAACTTTTTTGTTGTCGAAAATTAGTTTTCTTTTTGAGATCTGGATTAAAGTGACTGGAAGCATATTTTACTAATACCCTAAAAAAAAAAGAGCAAAGACTCTATTCAACATCAGCACAACTTTTTCTTTATATCATCTATCAACATATAATACCGACTGAATGACAATCACTAAGATCTTAGATAAAAATAGTAAAAAATTTTCATCATTTCTTAACAAAAAATTGAATTGATATAAAAGTATCAAGTAAAACATCAATGATACATAAGTTGTCTACCAACGACAAAAAATATTCGCGAATTATATTTTTTGATATGAAATACTGAGTTTATGTTTTGAAACAATATCATGAAGATAGATATGAATAACAACCAAGAATAGACACTTATAATATAATTAGAAGTTCACAACGAAGATACAAAGTATTCATATATCGTTTGTGTATAAATCATTGGATGTTTCGGCGATCACATTCTCTAGTTAAGAATATGATTTTGAAGTATGTGTATGGTTAAATTACAGTCTTGATTTTAACACTATTGAGCTAATAGAGAACATTATCAAACAAAAAAATAAAACAAAAGAATCTGAAATTACCATGGAAACTAGAGAATGCACTCGATAAGGCATACAATAACCTATCAGCAAGCATTATTCAATCAACATATTTCAAAGATTCAGACGTTTTATAAACACTTTTTATCTTTATTTTAAACTTTTAAGAGTCTATTCTTGCACTATTGTCATTGGTAGTATAGTCAAATATTTTGTAATAAACTTAGTTCGCTACCAGCAGCTATTTCTCAATGAAGAAGCGCATTATAAATACATAGGAATTCAAAAATTTGTGAAATTGAACAATTTATTAAAACTTAGCTACCAAAAGTGATCTTCTTCTTTATCGAAGGGATGCGACATAGAAAAAGCATTCATTAAATTGCAATATATTAATTATTTTAAGGATATTTCTCACGAATACGATTCTATCCAATGGATCAAAAATAATAATCTCGTTTTGTTTTTTTCTTTTTATTTCGGTTCTCATAATATTGTAAATGTTACAGAATGAGAAAAGTTCTTTTTTATGAAATAAAACACTTAAAATAAAAGTAATTCGAGCGAGTTTATTAGATATGTAAAAACAAAAAAAAAACAAAAAATTTTAAAGTTTATTTGTAGGAAAAATAAATAATTAGTCTTTGTAATTATTAGTATATGGCAGGGATACATCGTTGGCAAGGTATTCCACAACATTTTGCAGAAGGTTGGCATTGAGCATCTGTTGTACATTCTGAATAGCAATCAGGAGGAAAATATACTATCGGACAACAACCTGCATGTTCATATGGACAACAATAAATTTGGTCGTATCGATTTATTTTGCATGTACCACCTTTAAGTGCACACTTTCCTAATCCTTGTCCACAAACAACTCCTTTGATTGGTTGAGCATATTTGCACGGATCGCACTTAGGTGGTAATGGAAACATTGAACAATCAGGCTTTAGATTAGTGATATTTGCAGAATCCACTGGCATTGATGATGTTGAAGCATCGTCAGCTGCACATAAAGAGACAATAGCAAAAGTTGCTAGTAATAAGTGTATAATTAATTTTTTCGTCATCCTTTGATAATATCAAATTTAAATAGTCTTATGTATAAAATTGCTTATGTTGTACAATTGACGAGACTTATATAGTATCATATAGACTGGTAAAGTAGGATTTCAAATAAAGAAAACAAAGTAGGCGATACCATGTCCTATTTTGTTTGAATCATATTGATCTATTTTTGTTTCCAACATTATAGATTAATATTGAAATAAAATATTATATTAGTAATAGGATTAATCATTGTTCACGACATGATTATATTGAGACATGTACCTTTTTTTATATCTTTTCTTTCATGATCGTCATTCATCATATGTTTTGCGCATCGTATTCATACGTGAGTGAGTAGACTCCTTGATTTTTTAGAGGAATTACTTATTAACAATAGATGAGTGAGACAACATCGATTATGATATAGAATGAGTAATATCAACAAAAGTAATGATGAGCAATCAAGAAAATATTAAAAAAAGAAGGATTCGAAACTGCATATAGTTTGTTTATGTTTAGCAATATTTGAAATATTACATTAAAAAAATTTTTTTTTTGTTCTTATTTTCTACTATTCTATTCATGAACACGAATAGACCAGTTATCAAAATTATAAATCGTTATATGTACAGTAAAACCTCTCTATTCTGAACACCAGTGGGACTTTCATAAATCGTTCATATTGACGGGGTGATCATATAGGAGGGGGTTTATGCAAAGAAAACGTTTTTTTTATTTAAATCGCATATTTAAATCTTTTACTATTGACCACCAAATTTTTATTTATTAAATTTGTTCAGTCCTTATACAATATGAGAAAAAAAATTTAAGTACAAAAATTTTAAGTACATGTATCAGGTGCATATTTAAAATACTCCAGGATGGATCTTTGCTTTGATGAATTTGAATCGAGAAAAACATCAGTAAGTTTTGATTGTAATTGAGTAATAAATGGATGAAGTTCTGGTTGTTGTGTTGTTGATAAAAGTCGAAGACGACGAACTAATTCTAAAGATTCAGTTAATGATGGTGGATCTTCACGTGGTAATTCTTCCATATTTTCTGCATCATCATTGGCAATTCCGTTAATTGATAGGATTCTATCAGATGAATCATCCCACTCGTTGAATGATGGAATTTGATCATCAATGATCTGAAATAGACCAAAGAAAAATGTCAGAATATGTTATCAAAAACTCAGTTTCAGATCTTACAACGTAATCGTAAGCTGAAATAGATTTTCCACCAATTGTTAAATGTTTGAGTACTCGATCGAGTTCGTCAATGGCTTTATTATCCATCGACATATCACCCTTCACACCTAAATTAACCGGTAACACATCAACTCCATCAATCATAGAAAGTTTTTCAAAACCAGCTGATCTAAATGTATTCCTAATACTTGTTTCAGTTACTGCACTCCAGGCAGAATCGATCCAGTATACAGCATCTAAAGCTGTCACATTAATATCATCAGCTGTCGTTGCAACAGTAGCATTAGCAATGATATGCTTTACCAAATAACGTCGATAATAAGCTTTAAATGCTCTGATGATACCCTGATCCATGGGTTGTATAATAGCTGTTGTATTAGCCGGGAAGAATTTTAATTTAATATTTTCTAATTGAATATCTTGTGGGTGAACTGGTGCATTATCAAGAAACATTAAGATATGTCGTTTTTGTTTTCGCATACACAGATCAAGATCTTCTAACCATTGTGTAAAGATTCTTGAGTTCATCCGCGCACTTCTATTGCTAAACCATTGTACTGGTAATTTTTTAATATCAATATTTTTGAAGCACCGTGGTTTAGCATACTTTCCTATAATGTGAATAGGGAAAAAGCTTATCGTAAAATAAAACTCAATAGAAATTAACTTACCAATTACAACAGGTTTTAGTTTCTCAGTTCCAAGCATATTCGAACATAACATAACCGTATAACGATCTTTTGATCTTTTACCACCACGACAATCATTTCTATTAACAACTAACGAGCGATCAGGCATTAATTTATAAAACAATGATGTCTCGTCGCAGTTAAAAATATTACAAGCATCATAATGTTTAATAATTGAGTGTAAACGAACCTTCCAGTCGTTGACTGTATTTGGATCAACAGCTCGAGCTTCTCCACAAATTGTACGAAAATGAATGTTGTATCTTGTACGGAAACGATCAAGCCAACCATTACTTGCACGAAAATTGGTAGACTCGTCCAGCTGTTGAGCAATATCTCGAGCATATTGTTGAAGTATTGGACCAGATATGGGAATATTTTTTGATCTCTGTAAGGTGAACCATTCATAGACATGTGTGTTGATATCTTGATTAAATTCATTTTTGGATTTTCTTTTTAATTTTTTATTTCTGTTCAATTCGTAATCATCTGTATATTCTAATTTTCTTTTTAAAATATTTGAAACAGCTCCAATTGAAATTTGAAATTTATCACATAATTCTCGATAAGAAAATCCATTTTCTTGCTCCTTTATAAGGTTTATTTTTTCTTGTAAACAAAGTTCATTACGTGTTGTCATATTTAATAATTTAACATTAATATACAAACATACCACAAGTAATTCAATTGTATATCGACGAGATTGCACTTGTTTTTTTTCTGCTTCTCTGTTTCTCTCTAAGCCAATCACGAAACTAGCCAATGAAATACATCGTGTAAATTGAAAGTTTAATGGCGCCCTCTATAGCGTTCACATTACAGAGGGGACATTATACAGTCGGGACCAAAAAAAAGTGTTCACATTTAGAATCGCGAGGGTTTCACTAAGGAGGGGGTCAAAACCAGCAAAAATCGGTCGGGGGGACCGGAGAGTGTTCAGTATAGCAGGTTGTTCATAAAAGAGGGGTGTTCAGTATTAGAGGTTTTACTGTATATAACTTTTACGTTAATATTCTTATCCCAGATGAAAAAATTGAGTTCATTTTGAAGCAAAAAAAAAAAGTTGAATATTCATTCTATTTTTACTCGAATCATGGCATTGGGAGTAAACTATATGAGTGAATCATATTTCGTTTGTACAAGTGTATGGTCAGTACTAAATCACGAATATCTCTTGTTTAGAAGCTCTGATTAATTTGAAGATTTCACAGAATACTTCTCTCAGTAGCTTCCTAACCTTTTGAAATCTTCAGTGATCTACTTCATTTCCATCTCTTGATTAAAACAAAAAATTTTTCTAGTAAGAAAAGCTAATGTTCGCATTTTGTTCATTACAGTTAGATAGAAAAAAAAAGGTTCAGAGAATAAGAATCTGGCTTTAGTTTTCTTTAAAAAGCTATCTTTAATAAATCTACGCAAAATAAACCGACTTGACAGACACTTTGTCCTTTTTTTGTCTTATCATTTCAAAATATGATATTCACTTGACAGAAATATGTCGACCAACTTGGAATAAATTCCAAATTGCATCAAAATAATTTGAATGAGTATGGGTGGACAAGTTTTCAAAACAAATCATACTTTGTCTCGTCATATTTTGAATTTTGTGACTTAAATATCACTTAATCGGATTGATTGCTTTGAAACTTATTATACACCATTCGATTTAACATCCAAAGATCGATCTAATGGTATACCTTTCAGAACGAAATAATGCTGAATAGAAAAAAAATCCACCAAAGATGTATTCAGCTTCCTAAATGATCAAATTTTCACTGGTATTTTAAGATTTAACATTGTTGGAGATCAAACAATTTCGAAAAACAGTCCAACAACTTGAACAAGAAATTAGCACAACTCAATATAGATCGGTTCCTTCTCAACCGAAATATATTGCCATTTTTTCGAATTCGAAAAAAATATGATATTAATTTGTCGAATAAGTTTAAATCAACGCAGTCTAAAGATTGCGACATCATTTGTATTAATCGTGAAATAAAATGAGGAAAACTAATAAACATGAAAATTAAACATCGAAATCTGATTCGTTTCAATCACTTGTCATCCAATCTGTCCGAAATTGTAAGCAATTTTTGTAAACAAATTTCAAGTTGAACTTGAAGTGAGTAGAAATTATTTTCAGAGTTCACTTGATATTTTACATATATCTAGTGTATTCAAGAGTATCTTCGACAAACTCGTGCTCAATATCATGCAGGAAAAAATCGTTCGAGAAGAAGTTCAACAGATTGATAATATTGATGCTATCGAAATCGATTCCCTAGAGAATGTACTGAGTTAAGGGTACCCGAAAAAGTACCCTGTTACCAGTATGTCACAGAAGTGTAGTAACTGGGTACTTGAAGGTACTGATCAGATACTCAATTGGGTACTATTGTATAGTATTTCTAGGTACCCTGTCACAAAAATTTCAGTATGTTCAGGATCGAGCCTGACCTTTAACTTTTTTAAATTTTTGTTTCTCTCAAAGCAATTTACTACATTTTTTTTGATTTTATTCAATTTAATTTTTTCAATTCCGAAAACTTAGCAGGCACAATGCCTGGATCTGACCCAACTTGAGTTGGTCAGGTATCCATCAGACCACTTCGGAGTAGTCCGCTCTTAATCTACGATAAAGATTGGTATGTTCTCGACTAAGAAATAGTCAAGAAATAATCTAGAAAAAATTAGTATGAAAATAGATTAATTTCTTATGTCTTACCCAGTTGTTTATATGGAGCCGTGCGTGAAAAAGAAAACGGTGAATGAATAGTCGCTACACAGAACGCGACAAATATAGAGTACCCTGTATAGCTTGCCTCAGTAAAATTACAGATGCGAGTACCCATACAAGTACTTGTTAAGTGAGCGTACTTTTATGGGAACCACACGCAGTACCTACATCAGTATAATTACTGAGAATTTTTGAAGTACCCATATTGGGTACCCTGCTAGGCCTTTCCCAGTACATGGGTACCCTGAACCCAGTACTTTCTCTAGGGTTGAATGAAAAATTATTATCTTCGACAAACAAGAAAAGAAAAAAAGATTTTCTAGTTATATATCAAATTGCACTTTAAAAACATACCATTTTTGGGTGATGAAAGTGTGTTTTGTTATTTTAAAATCTTTGAACAAGAACTAATAAGAAAAAAAAAAGTAGTCATTCTTTTTGAAAAAGAACGATGTTTTCTAAAGTCTATGGTTTTTCCCGCAAGGCTCATCATGATTTATTCTTTTCCCAATATTCAACTATATATTTTTCGATAGATCTAATGAATGATGTCATAATTCCGTTACGCCGGGCATTTTCCTTCGATCAAACGAAACCTTATACATTGTCATCAACACCACTTCACTAAGTAACCGTTTGTTCATAAGTATTCAGGACAATTGAACATTACACGATCAATCCTAAGCTGAGATAATGTAGTGGATTTGATCGATTACCGAATGGGTAATGGCATTCACATACATGGATGTATATTTGATGAAAGTTAAAATTTTGAGTGGATTTGGTCGATTACCCAATGGGTAATGGCATTTACATACATGGATGTATATTTGATGAAAGTTAAAATTCTGAGTGGATTTGGTCGATTACCCAATGGGTAATGGCATTCACATACATGGATATATATCTGATGAAAGTTAAAATTTTGAGTGGATTTGGTCGATTACCCAATGGGTAATGGCATTTACATACATGGATATATATCTGATGAAAGTTAAAATTTCGAGTGGATTTGGTCGATTACCCAATGGGTAATAGCATTCACATACATGGGTGTGGATGTGGGTGTTGGAGGCCTCTCTTCATTTATACCCACACCCACACCCACACCCACACCCACACCCACACACCCACACCCACACCCACACCCACACCCACACCCACACACCCACACCCACACCCACACCCACACCCACACCCACACACCCCACACCCACACCCCACACCCACACCCCACACCCACACCCCACACCCACACCCCACACCCACACCCACCCACACCCACACCCTTCATGTTGCTTATATAAATATGAGAATAAAAATTCCATATTCGTGAAGATTTTTGTGTTACTACTCGTTTGAACAATTACAATGTAGAATCTTCTTTATCAATTAATTGTTCCATTTCTTTTTTGGTTAACATGATGCTGTATTTAATTAATCAAAAATTTTAAT